CATCTTTGGCGATTTTTCATTTTTTTTTGGCATAGCTAAATGCCCTTAAAATTCACAGATGTGTACTTCACATAATACAAAACCCACTAAAAAAGTTTCAAAAGAGACTAAAATTGTTTAGACCCCGAACTAAAGTGAAAACAGAAAGTAAAAAGTGAAAAACAACGTGGGCGAGCACGTTTTGACACCGCCATCTTTGGCGATTTTTAATTCATTTTTGGCTAAGCCAAATGACTTGCAAATTTATAGGCATGTACCTCACGTCATAGAGAACCCATAAAAAAAAATTCAGAAAAAAAAAAAATACTTTTAGGCCCCGAAATCATTTTTGGCGGGGGCCGAACGCCATCGGGTTCGGGCCCCGTACGGGACCCCGAACGCCCGAACGTACGGAGGTCCGCCCCGGGGCCTCCGTACGTACGGGCTGGTAACCCTGTATATATATATATGGCGGTTCCTTAGTGTGTCACTCCTGCTGGCTCTACTGGGGAGTTTCCAGAGCGAGCAGCCGGTGTCAATAGGCAAGCGTGTAATTGGAGTGTCTGGGTGGAAGGCAATCCATTCATTAGTGACCTGCAGCACCCCGATCCAGTAGACATTGACCCCCCCTTTCCACCCAACCGAGAGTCATCTGGAGAGGCTCTGGTGAGAATATTCTTTCTGGCTCTGACGAAGAAGTTCACTAGCACCTCTTCAGGGCAGGTTTCCAGAACGTTTCCTATCCTCTGTGGCTTGCGCCATACTCTCTTCCGAGATGGTCACTCTCTTCCAAGGAGGGGCCTTTAGTCACTCTTCCAAGGAGGGGCCTTTACCTAATGTTACTACCCAAGAGAGGGGAATGGAGAAGCTTAACTGTTCCAAATGGTCTTCCACCCGATGAGCGTACCTCAGAGCTTGGAGGAGTTCCTGGGCCGTCTTCCAGTCCTGCACCGTCTGGTCCCACAGGTCCCCCACATGGAGAATGCCCTTCGTCGCCCAGCCTCTCCAGAGGAGGTCAGAAAACTCCAGGAGATCTGACCCTGGGTGTCGGTAATCCATTGGTTGCCGAAGAGGGGCTGCCTGCAGACATCTTCTGCTGTGTGGGGGTAATCTTAGGTCTCCCCACTCGGAGAATGCCCTTTGTCACCCAGCTTCTCCAGAGGAGATCAGCACTCGTGAAGGTCCGACCATGGGAGTCAGTAATCCATCGTTTGCCGAACAGGGGCTACCTGCAGACATCTTCTGCTGTGTGGGGGCAATCTTAGGTCCCCCACTTGGAGAATGCCCTTCTTCACCCAGCCTCTCCAGAGGTCAGAACTCCGGAAGATCTGGCCATGGGTGTCGGTAATCCATCAGTTGCCAAATAGGGGCTGCCTGCAGACCTCTTCGGGTGTGTGGGTGGGGGCAATCTTAGGTCCCCCACTTGGAGGAATGCCCTTCTTCACACAGCCTCTCCAGAATAAAAGTCAGAACTCCGGAAGATCTGGCCATGGGTGTTGGTAATCCATCGGTTGTCAAATAGGGGTTGCCGGCAGACCTCCTCTGGTGTGTGGGGGCAATCTTGTCCCGGAGGGGTAATACACGACCACCACAGGTGAGCTGGGGTGTCCTCAAACTTGCCCCACACCTGCAGCACCCTTTGACTTGCCGGTGGAATAGGAACCGGACTGATGCTCCCCAGAATGGACAAGGAGCTGGAACCATAAGGTTCTGTTTTTTGTTAAAAAAAGAGTAGGAATTTAAATAAATAAAAAAAAGAGACATTGTCTAGTTCTGTAATGCACATTCTCTAAGCCATCTGGCAGAAGAAATAACGCTGCATATTTGCAACTGGGCCGAAGAGGTGAACTTGCCTGACGGACGGGCGATGCTTGAGAGCTACCCGCATCGTTCTGAGTTTGTCCATAGAAACTTGCTCCTCAGTTGAACACGGAGGAATAGAACGGCCCATCACTATAGCTGCATGTGGTGCGACTTTCAGTCTAGATGCAGCGATAACGACTGGGTGTTCTATTCGGGTGAAGACGGTAGTGGCGTGCTCCATGCAATGGCAAATCGAGCATGGTCGGTTTGTTTTTTTTTTTGAGGGAGAACGTATGTTTACCCACTACCGGTAGGGATAGACTTGTAGACCACCATATCCACCTGAAGCAGAAGGAACTGCTACTCCCATGATGTAGACGAAGTCAATCAATCAAAAAGAAAAAGAAAAAAAGACGAAGTCAATCAGGTCTCCCGCCGAGTAAAAGTCAGGCAGACACCACAACACCTCTCTTCGTATACCCCCCCACAGCAGTACTGTTGTGGAGGTGGTTAATAGAAATTGCCTCAGTACCCCACTTAAAGATGAGAATACCCGCTATACCCAGTCCCAGCGCCCAACTTGCATCTATACCCGAACCCCTTTCAACTTTGCATAGTACCCAACTTTTCCCCTGTGCGAAATTGTA